AGGACAGCGTGTCCCGGGGACGTGGGAGGGAAGGGGGAGGTGGGAGATGTGTGGTGCTGCAGCCTGGCCAGCACACTCGACTCCCTGTTAGGCAGCGCTGTGTTTTGTTGATGTTTAATGTTTTGTCTAATCTCTGCTTTGGATCGTGTACTTTTGGGTTTCTCCATTTTTAATTTCCTTTTTTTTTTTTTTCCTTTTCAGGCGTCTCGGTGCTGAGCTGGGGAAATCTGTGGTGTACCAGGAAACCAATGGAGGTGAGAGAAATCTATTTGCAACTGTTCTGAGGTATTCTTAGACGTACTGGGTAGCACTGGTATTGGCCAGACCTGTCCAATAAGTGCAGTGGTTCAGCTGTGATGTTACTGCTGCTCCTGGCAGTGCAAAATCTCCGTCTCTGACCTTGGATGAAGCAATTAAATATGTTCCTTGTTGTCCCCTGTTGTTTGTCCATCACCTAACTCTCCTCTAAAGGACAGTCTTATCTTGGGTGTTAGCTGCTACAGTCTTACATGGTCTTGTGCTTAGCAAAACATCTCCCAGGTTTAAAAGTAATGGCCTGTGTTTTAAGTGCCTGCTGTGCAAACTTACATTACCCCCTTCTTCCTTGAGTCCTGTGGCTCCAGCTGGGTTGGCTGTTGTGCTCATGCTAGTGAGAGCTCGCAGCCCTTTGGGGCTAGTTTTAAATCAGGTCTCTTGCTGCAAGGTCTGAAGTCATTCCTGGTCACTGCACAGCTAGTCAGTCTGCTTTAAGCAGAGTCCCTTAAGGGTACTGCCAGTGCCCAGCAATCAGACCTGGAGTTTGGTAGCTGGATAGATGTTTCTCCTTTAGCTTATCACTGCCCCCTAGTTCACAGCTGTGTGGGAAATGAGTAGCAGAGACAGGCACCTCAGGAAACCTGCTGTCATTGCTTTGGCTTTGCAGAGCTGCTTCAGGGCTCAGCTCTTGCAGTTGAGTCCAGGACAGTATGAATTGTGTTCAGCAGAGCCCAGAGTTTCCAGCTCCTGTCAGTGTTGAAAAGTCTTGACCTTACTAGTGAAACTGGGGAGTTCTTCCTCTGAACGTTGTGCTGCTGGTGTTGCCTTGGGCTATCCAGCCTCTCAGGAGCTGACCCCAGGGTGAGCTATGAAAGAGCTGAGTTAAGTTCTTGGTAAGTCCTAAAGGTTGTCCTGCTCTGAGTGGTTCATTGTTCACCGATCAATGTGGCATTGACAGCTTTCAGGGCTCAGCTGGGGCAAGTGCAAAGGATCTTGCAGTGAGGGTGAAGGAATTATCTTCTACATGTAAAACAGCTATTCAGCCTGGTTTTGCCTTGTAAATACAACTACTCACTGGTATGTCCTGCCAGCTCTTGATTTCCCAGGAGCAGCCCTTGGACAATTCCTTGGCTCAGCTGCCTGTGTGCAGTGGGTGGATGTGCAGGAAGGGCGAAGGAGCAAGTCCTCCTGCCCTGGCCAGTGGGCAGAGCTGCTGCTAAAACATGCTGTGTTATCACTGGAAATCTGATGTTTGAAAACAAAACTGACTGTGTTCTCAATCTTCTTCAGAAACTAGAGTTGAAATAAAAGAATCCGTCCGGGGACAGGATATCTTCATCATACAGACTATCCCCAGGTAAGGGCTCGGGGCTGTGCTACAGCTGTGATCCACTTGGAATTTCTGTTCCAGCAGGTTGTTCAGGAGGTTTGCTCGCTGTTAGCCAGCACGATAACCCATCTCTTTCCAGTGTTGTCATTGCTTTGACTTACATTTAAGACACCACAGAGTGTTAAGCTGTTAAAATTCCCCGAGGAACATTTGTGCCACTGCAAACGAAGCTTCCTGTCAAATAGCTTAAGTGTGTCACTTGAGGCAAGAGCAAGTCTGAGTGGTGGCTTCAGGCAAAACGTCCTTGTGTGTTGCTGTTGCCTGGCTGTGGTTATTTCAGACTGGTATTTCCATCTCAGGATGTGGAATTTCCTCCAATTTCCAAGCAGCTAAGCCAGTAACAAAAAACCAGCAGCTATAGCTTTCCTTACTGGCTGGAGGACTCTTCCCCTGTTGCTGTAGTGGAGTGGAACAGAGCTCAGGTGGAAGCCTGTAGCTTCCCTCCATGCACTCCTGTACTTTTTAATGGTGTTAACGATGCCTTTTCTTAAGTGGACCTTTTTGGGGTTTAATTTTGAGCTGTTCTAGCTTTGGAGTAGGAGGGGAAAGAAGTGCTGAAAGTAACCCAGAGACTAGAAAAACAGCCGCTAACCCCAGGAACTTGCTGCTTGCTGGCTGAGGAAGAGTGTAACACGATAGCACTGGCATGGTGGAAAGGGAGCTGATGTACAAGTGATAAGTGTAAAATGACCAGCTGAGTAAGGGAGGTGCTGTTTGCAGAGCTGAGGTATTGATAGGGTGCCTTTTGCACAGTTATCAAAACAAGGATACTCCTGCTCTGGTAGGTTTTTTTTTCCAGGCTACCAAATTCTCAGATTTTCCAGATCACAAGAACTAATAAGTACCAGAGCTCAAGCAGGTAGCAGAATTACCCCTGAAACATTTTTTTTCTTGCTTGCCAAAGAAATAGAGCCCAGTGAGAATTCAGGTTTGTTTCTTTGTAGTGCTTGGCCTGTTGTCAAAGAAATCAGCAGGACTACAAGATCAGCTTGCTCCCCTCTGGAGTTCTTGCAGGGTGAGACATTTTCCTAGAGCTCATGTCTCTCCAGAGAGATGCTCCAAGTGTTTTTTCCCTGAGGGAGCAACTAAATCTTCAGAAGATGAAAATCTGCTGATGCAGGATTGTGTTTTGGGTGAATAGTGCCACTCTTCTGTCCCTTGTGAGAGAGTTCTCTGGCATAACTTGTAACTGAGAGCTGTGTAAACATGAAAGAGGTAAGTTTTTCAGAGGGAGATAGCTTGGAGCTTTAGGGACAGCAATAGTTTTGGGAAATGGAAAATCTCCCCTGCTTTTAACTTGTTGATCCCCATTTTTTTCCCATAAACTGAATTCAATGATTGTGGTCCAAGAAATGGATCCTTTTTAGCCAAAATATTCCAGGTCCTCCAGGTAAGGAGCCACTGTTGTGCAGCAAGGTCACCTTTTATTCCTAAAGTGCAGCTGTGTCTTGCTGCATTACTTGAGAGGACAGGTTCAAGGACATCCCAGTCTTGCAGTGGGTTTCAGGGACCTTTTGAGTGGAGTTAAAACAACTGTTGAATACACTAAGAATAGGATTTTAGCACTTGGTAGCTGTTTGAGAGTGAACAAAATATTAGGACTTAGTAGGAAAGGAGTAGAAAGGGAAACAACCTTGTTATGCTACAGTGTGAATTCACAGTCTGCATCTTAGATGAACAGAGAAAGAGACCTAACTATTTGATACAAGCTCCCTGTCCAAAAAACATATAGCAGAACTAAAAATTCCAAGGACAGGTATCATCCAAGGCCATTGGTGTGGAAAGGCATTCATATGAGGCAAAACCAAATAGCTCATGTTTACTATGGGGAAAAAATTAGGAGTTGGTTGTTTAGTGATAAACTAAAGGTGAAAGGAGCCTTTTAGGGCTGAGTGTTGGTGCAGAGTCCATTAGCAGCTTCACATGAGCCCTGAGAAGAGGAATCTCCAGGGATGGGGAGCAGTGAGGGAGGCTCCAGGCTGCTGGAGAGGGGTGGGTGGTGAGAAGGGTGTAGGGTGTAGCTGAGCTGGCTCTAAGTGTGCTGGTAATGAGCTGACAGCTGCTGTGTGTGGTCTTGGCTCAGGCTTTCCAGCAGTAACTGCGAGTGTGACCTCAAAGCAGGAGGCAGGGAGGGCAATGAGGAGACCGGGGTGCTCTCCTAGGTACCCCTTCTAGAGATGCTGTGGCTGGGGTTCCCCACAGATGATGTTTCCATCAATTAGACTCCTCTCTGAGCTGAGCCCTTGGTGGGGTCAGTGCCCCTCACACAGGAGTGGATCATTGTGGTGGCTGGATCAGCACGAAGCATCCAGGAGGGTTCTCCTCACCCCTCAGCCCACTCTGGGCCCTGCCAGAGGGACAATCACATTCACCTCTGCGTGGTGCATGTGCCAGCTGGGCTGCAGGAGTATCCTAGAGGCTGGCATGGGATCCTTGAATACTGAGTGAGGTGCTGCTCCTCAAGTCATTGCTCCATCGATACAGCTACTAGTGTTCCACAGCAGCACTGGGACTGCGGGTGCCTTTTGAAATCAGTGGAAACCCTTTCTCCTAGGAGCAGTTTTGTCTCTATCTGCTTTCCATGTGAATATATATGTATATTTTTTAAAGAATAAATTGAAAAATAACAATGGAAGATATCTAATTTCTGGGATGAACTTTAAACACGCTTAAACTTGACTGCTTTGTTTTTATACAACCCTGATAGTAGCATCTTTTTCTCCTCCCGTGGCTCCGCTGGCACAGCTAAAACACCAAAGGGAAGAAACAGTTCTTTGTTTGCTCGTTGTCCTACGTGGCAGGGGGTTATGTTTTATGTAATTCTTGGCTGGATGCTTCTGAGCTAACAAAGCTTTCCTGTGTGTCTGCGGCATTGTGCGCGAGGGCTGGCGGGGCCAGTGGAGAGCAGAGACCCAGAGCCCTCACAAATGAAGAGGCACAAGTGGAGTTTAGTGTCCGAAGGAAAGGAGAGAGATGGAGAAATGGAAATTGTTTGAGGTTTGTCCTGGTCACACAGACGGAGGCTCAGAAAAGGCTCCGAGCTCCTGGGGAAGCCAGCCCTGGTGGGCAGGAGGAAATTGGTCCTCCAGCAATGTCTGGGTAATGTCCAAAAATCTCCACAGGGCTTTAAGCTGCTGTGTGGTGTTTATTCCTCTGCTGCTGTGTGGAAGGCTGGCCGGGTCAGTGCCTGCTCTGTCACCGTGGGCTGCATGGCTGAGCCATCACCAGCGTTGCCCTCCTGGGGAAGTGGTGTGTCCTCTGAGGCTGTCCATCCTGAAAACCCCAGAGGAGGGGTGTCTGCACTGTAGGAGGGTTGTCTGTGCGTCCATCTTCTCTGCAGTGTGTGTGTTCTTCAGTTCCCAAATGCTCTCGAGCCAGTTTGTGATGCACAGAGTGTCTCTTAGTGTTGGCTTTAAGGAAATCAAAGGGCTTGGCTTTTTTTTCCCCTTCCCAAAATAAATGACAATGCAGATTGATACCCTCCTGCTCGGCCACACCAGTCAGCAGAGTGAAGCTAACTGAAAATGAGGTTTTACACATATTCTGTCCTGTGATCTGCAGACATATCCTGTCTGTGTTGCATTTGGTTCTTTCAAGGAACAGTCTGTGCTGTGGTTCCTCCCATCTCTGGATAAGCTAGATATCATGGAGGTGCTGATCTCCACCAAAGGGACAGTGTGGAGATGCTGGCCTCCACCAGAGTGGTGTGCCTGGACTTTGTACTGCTCCAGAATGCACAGTTTCTTAGGGCAGGAAAAACAACCTGTCTTACATTATCAAAAATAAAAATATGGTAATAAATCCAGCATGGATGAAATTGTGTTGGCTGCACGTCTGCTGCTTCTTTAAAAGACTGTTTTCTTTCAAAACACTCTGAAGTGACATTGTTGTTGTGATGATGGAAGGAAATCATCACACACCTCATGTCAGAGTACAAAAGCAAATGCTGGTGCAGAGCTCTTCGTGCTGGAGTCGTGTCCTGTACGCACATCAGGTGATTGTAACGTGCTGTGCTGTGAGGGAAGGATCTTGACAGTTACAGTCTGGGTCTTGTGCATGTGAGCACACGGTGAGGCACTGCTTGTCTGGAATTTTGGTGGGGAGAGTTGTGGTTCTAAAAGGAACAAGGAGTTGCATTGGAAAAACACCTACTAATATTTAGATGGGTTTTCAAATCTCCTAGAGATGTGAATACTGCTGTCATGGAGCTGCTGATAATGGCCTATGCACTGAAGACATCCTGCGCCAGGAACATCATTGGGGTCATCCCTTACTTCCCCTACAGCAAACAGAGCAAAATGAGGAAGAGGGGCTCCATAGTCTGCAAGCTGCTGGCTTCCATGCTCGCCAAGGCAGGTGAGTGTCACAGGGAGGAGCAGCGTGGCAGGCTCGGGTGCTGCTGGGCACCCCCAAGTGCCTCTGTCCTTCTGTTCTTCTCCCCTTCAATGTGGGGATGTGCTGCCGAGCCCTTGAGCCACTTTGGGGGAATTAATTTTCTTCAGCTTCATTTTATTTCGTTGTAACTCGTGCATGGGGAGTCTGCCTAGAAGTGTCATATTGCAGTACAGTGTCAGAGTGCTGCTCCCCATTATGGCTTTGGGACTTTTCACATTAACCTGTTTATGCTCATTTTATCACATGGCATAATAGTCTGAGTAATAGCTAAAATAGTCTGGAAAATGGAGAGATTCAAGAAACGCCAGCCATTGGAGAGTTGTCTCAAGGAATTCTTATTTTTGTTTCCTGTAGGTTTAACACACATTATCACTATGGACCTTCATCAGAAGGAAATCCAAGGCTTCTTCAGCTTCCCAGTAGACAACTTGAGAGCATCCCCTTTTTTGCTTCAGTATATACAGGAAGAAGTGAGGTTACTCTAGTTCTGTATATATCTATATCTCATCATGTCTTAACTCATCTTAGTCTGACAGCAGCATTAGGCTGTGCTTACACAGAGGTGGTGTTGTCAGGCTAGATCATCCTTCTGTTAGTGAATTCTTTCAGAGGGGAAACAGGGAAACCTGTTCAATGTTTCTTAGGAAAGCGGGAAGATGTTACCTTGTGTGGTTGTACCCTGACCACAAGCAGAAGATGAGCTGGCTCTCGATAGAGTTAGCCTGTTTGAGAGATGCTATTTCTGCTCCTGCCTCTAATCACCCTTTAAATCCTGTTAAAGTGTCTCCCTTTGCCCTTTTTTCTGCAGGGATGTCTGACTGCTCTGAATTATTGACAGACTTTGTCTTGGGCTGAGCGTTGGAATGCTGAGTACAGCAGGGCTGGGGGCAGGGCTCAGAGGTTTTCCTTTCCCTGTGCCCAAGTTGATGATTTGTGCCCAGATGATGAGAGGAAGGCGTGCGTGGTTTTTTTTCCACACCCTTCCCCAAATGGGGAGAGCAGGGTTGGGGCCTTCCCTTGCAGACAGAAGTATCTGCAGCTGGTCCATGTGGGGTAGGTTAGGCACAGTGAACATTCCCACCTTCTCCCGTGGAGAACATAAGGCCAGTGCCTGTTCTGCATGGGTACTGGGGCTCCATGTGCTGGCAAGAGCCAGGGCTTGGTATCTCTGGCCCCAGGACCCATCACCACACCTTCCCTATCCTTCCTGGTGCTGTCAGCTCCACAGGCAGGCCACGACTTGGCACTAGCAGGGCAGGGGGCACAGGGCTGGAGGCAGGCATGGAGCAGGACCTGCAGCATTGCCTGTACTTAAGCCACTTGTGTCACATCTGGGGCAGAATACATAAATACTGGTGTTGAAAACAAGTGTGATTACCTCTGGAGTTTCTTGCCACAGAATGAAGATTGAGGTCTGGGGAAGGAGAGTGGGTACAATTATTTAGCCATGTATCAAATCAGCTACTTTCTGACAAGAAGGTTTTCACTTAAATAACTTTTTATCACATCCAGATTCCAGATTACAGAAACGCAGTTATTGTAGCCAAATCTCCTGATGCAGCTAAAAGGTAAATGGATGCTTTACTAGCTGGTTAAAAGCAACTGGGAAAAGATCTGGGCTGATGGGACACACTAGGGAAAACATGGGAGGGGTGACAGGTGGATCAGCAATCTGATCTGTAAGTTTTGTGTGGCTGGAAGTGGGATGGATGTCTGGAGTGGTGCAGATAGCTGAACTTTGGCATCCCGACCCTGTGGGAGTTGGCTCTGGAGGTCTCTGCTGCTGCAGAGCTGGGTGCTTCACCTGGGGCCAGGATTGGACTTGCTGCATGAGTTTTCAGCAGTGTCTGACCATCTCAGGAGGCCCCTGTGGTGGGGCCAAGAGGCAGAGGAGGCTTTGGGGTATTAAGGAGAAGTGAAAAGTCGCTTCCAGTGAAGTTTTTCCTGGGAAGCAGCCACAGAGGCGCAGCCTTTGCTCGCCCTGTCGGGTCTGGGAGAGGCCTGCTGCACTGGGCTGGGAAGCTGCATCAGCCCAGCCCCCTCCTGACGTGCTGTGGTTGTCCTGCAGGGCTCAGTCTTACGCCGAGAGGCTGCGGCTGGGGCTGGCAGTGATCCACGGCGAGGCTCAGTGCACGGAGCAGGACATGGATGATGGACGGCACTCCCCTCCCACGGTCAAGAACGCGACTGTGCACCCGGGGCTGGAGCTGCCGGGTAAGATGAAGCTTCTCTGCTTACCTCCTGGGGGGAACAAAAGGAAGACCTTTGTGGGAAATTGGTGTTGGTTTAGCTGTGTAGGTATAACCAACCTAATGGCAGTTGGACCTTTCCACGAGAAACATTCCACTGGTTGATCTTCGTTGTAGAAGGTAACAGAGGAAGGTTTTTACTGAACTTTCTGCCCCTGCAGAGCATCAGTGTTGTTCTCCTTGGCTGTGCCTACTCGGCAGCGCCAGTGACCCACCTCTGATAAAGGTGATGCTTCTACAGTGCTCAGCAACAAAACTCGTGGAGCTAATGAAACAGAAATGTAGAAGTGTAACTAGCATGGGAACAGCTACTGAGACAGGCTGCTGTGCCTGCTGTGGAGGGGAGGGCTGCCCTTGTCTGCCCCTTCTGCTGCAGGCAGTGTTACTGCTGGAAATGATCTTTGTCTTGGCAGCCAGGTGATTATGTTCCAGTGTCTGTTTTGTGCTTTGTGTGACTAGGGTGAATAGGTTCTCTGAGAGCAGTGCTGAACTTATTCCTGGGCTCTTGCCATCGATTGATAAGCTGCTGATTTGAGAGCACAGGGGAAAAAGCAGCAAAGGAGAAAGGAGGAAACCTGTGTTCTGGGAAATGCCATCCTCTTAGGATTGCTTATATTCCTGCAAGAACAGCAGGGAAGTAACAGCAGTACAATCAAAATCCAGCTCCCTCTTGGGAGGATCTTAGCTTTGTGGGTAGAGGGTGGTAGGAGGGAAATGGAGTGCAGTGAAATGGCTGCACAGTAGCCGTGGGAAAGGAGCTGCCCACGGTGCAGCCAAGCTCAGTTACCCCAACAGTGGCGAGGGCTGCTGATAAGTGTCTCCTCTCACCCTTTGAAGTTCAGGGAGAACATCCAACCAGTTTCTGGGCAGGTTGTGGAGGGGAGGCAGATAAGACTGCAGGCATTCTACATTACCTCAGTCATCGCTTACTATAATGCAATTAAACACTGCTTGTGTTGCTGGTGAAACTCTGCTTGGGCCTTGGGGGACAGGTGAGATTTGACAATGAAGTTTGGGACCTAATTTTGATTGCCCTTCTCCTGGTGGTTTTTTTTCCACACCCTTCCAGCAAAACAGTTTGTGTGGTTACTCTTGGCATATGCCTTGCCTTCCTACTCTGAAGAGGATGCTGTCCTCCAAAATATCACCAGCTGACATTTGTCTACTACCTGGGTATTGATGTATTTTATTTCCAGCCATAGCACTTTAAGGAAGCTCAGCTGTGGGAGCATGTGCTGCTGGGGAGCTTTTTAAATGGTAGCTCATACAGAAACATACCCTTGCCCAGTTTAGTTATGATTCCAGTGGGAAATTTTCAGTCTTCAGCTATCCAAACACAAACTAATTTGTTGTGTGTCACCACTTTCTTATTTTATCTCCTGCAGAAACTTGGCACTTGACTGATGACCTTACATTCCTGCATGCCTAAAGCACAAACGTAAAGCAGTCTAGCTGTGGCTTGGTAGCTGCTTGTTTGCAAGATGTGTGGTGGAATATGGGGCAAAGTTGTCCAAAACTCTCAGCAGAAAGCTGCTTTTTCTCTCCAGTTTTCTTATCTGATAGATAATGTGTTTTGGAGTGAGCTGGGCTCTGTTACAGGAGGTGCAGAACGCCCAGGTAGAACCTGTCTAAAGCAGGCTGTCAGCTGCTAGTGCATCCTGGCTGTGGTGCAGCCTCTGCCGTGGGGAGGTGACATCCTGCCGGCCAGAGGTGAAAATGCAGCCGGGGTTAGGGTGTCTGCACTTACCCTCTGCTGAAGTGTCTTCCCACGTCAGACAGAACCCTCGATCAGCTCTTCCTGCTGTGTGCACATCGCCAGCACTCCTGGTGCTGGGAGGCCAGGCAGCAGCAGAGTGAAGCAGGATTCAGCTACGTCCCTGTGCTGCTGTTTGTGAAGGTGCTACTTGCCCAGAGCTCTGTGCTTCCTTACCCCAAAAATGGCCAGAAAAACCTCTGGCTGCCAAAACAAAGCTGCTCTCCAGGTCTGCCTGGCTCAGGTCCCACAGACCCGGCTCTGGGCAATTAGAAGTTGGGGATGCTCCTAGAGGGTGGCTGGGACTAACCATGGAGCATCCTGCTCTGGGCTACAGCCAGATTGGTGCAGAGCATCCTGTCCTCCCACTCCAGACTCTGAAGCTGAGGGTCCCCAGCAGCTGTTACAGCCAGAAGAGAGGTAAAACCCACGTGAGAGCAGCCCCAGAGCCCCACAGCACTGACCTGTGCTTTATGCCATTCTTCCTGGGCTTCCTAGTGAGCTGGCTGGGCTCCTGCATCCTGGCATGCACCTCTTCTCCCTGTTCTAGTGGAGACCATGGGCCTTTAATTAACGAGCACTATGCAGTGTAATGGTTTATTTACTGTCCTGAGAGCGTAGCCTGATTTGGTACTCTGATTTGGTAGCATGTGTAATGGGAAAATGTCAAAGGTACTTCCAATTCCACTTGTTCGAGGTGCTTGGCTAAAGCAGCAGCAACAGCTCAGGTCCCTCAAACCCCAGAAACTGGAGCCTTGGAGCCAGGATATCACTCTGAGGTTATTCTCTGTGTCTCAAAGCTTGCAGCTGGCTCAGGGCTCTGCTTTAACAAATGTGTATGGACTCTAGTCCTGGAGAAGAGGAGCAGAGCACCATCTGTTAAATCATTTCAGTGGCTTTGAAATTCAGTACTTCATACAGGCAGCTAATGCTCTGCGACAAGCCCAGAGCCCAGCAGACTGCTGTGGAGGAGGAGGAGTTTGGGTGAAAAAGCTGGAGCTGACTGTCGGTCTGTTCCCACAGGGATGTTATCTGCCCTTCAAGGTCCATCTCTTCACAGAACAGTTCATTCTTGAGCAGCCTTTTGCTTGTGCACTCTGTTTGAAATGCAGCGTTGTTTTTCTGGGCTATTATCACTTTAATACACACTGTGGGCTCCAAACAGAGTTTGGTTTAATGTTTCTTAACCCATTTTTGACTGCTGAATTGCAGCACAAGGTTTATGCACCTAGAAAAGCTTTCTTTTCATGGTGGTGATGGTAATCTCACCTTTAATGCCTGGTACTTTGAATATTGCATCAGAATGAGAGTGCAGGTTAGTGTTTGGCTGCTGAACTTATTTCCCAACCACCCCTCAGTGTTCTTTGACTTTTTTTTTTTTTATAAAAATGGTGGTTGATTTGGTTCTTTTCTCTTTTCTTTATTTTTTTTACTCCCTCTAGAAGCTACAGGTATCACAAGCATCTTTTCTGACTCTCCAGGAAAAAAAACAAAACCAAAAAAACACCACACTCTTTTAACCTAAACTTGTATATAGTCCAAGGGGTTACACCCAGCAGAAGCACAGCTGTGCCTTACTGTTGCCCTCTTTTGTCTACATACAAATAGATTTTGTGTCTGAGAGGAAAATGTTATTTATTACTCAAATCATTTTTCAAGCCACCTTCTTGGAGCAGTTCTGACTTGCACATCTGGATATGTCCAAAGGTTTTGAAGAAAAAGAAACTGGCCACAGGAACCCTTGCATAATCTCTCCTCACGTTAGAGAAGTTCTCTTGAGGTTTGATCTGGTTGTGGGTAGATCTTTGGCTTGCAATTTTTTTTTCTTTTCTTTGCAGAGAAAATTGAACAAGAAAAAGGGAGAACATCTCTTTAGGATCCGGGTAGGTCGACACATTGCCTACCATACTTTAAAAATAAAGCAAAATTGAAACACAGCATTTAAACCCAAAGAGATGTGGAGTGCTGCTAATGCTACTAGCTGCCCTGTTAGCCTTTAACTGTAGCAAGGAATGTGTCCACTTCCTTTATGGAATAGAAGGATACTGATTTGCTGAACCTTCATGTGTTTGTGAGTAAAATAGTGCCAAATTTCAGCTCCTGTTCCCTATTTGCTTAGAGTTTTCCCCAGCCTGACTGTTGTAAGCAGAAGTGGCCCTCATCTGGGGATGCACACAGAGGGTGGGATGGCAGCCAGATGTAATCCTGCTGGCATTTCACACCTCCTGGGAGTTGTGCTACTGTGCAAATCAGATAATAAACTAATATCTAGTCTAAGCAGGTAGGAAGTGCCTGTAATTGAAATTACAGTCTGCTTATTTCTTCTGATGCTTAATGTTATATTATTACAAATACTCTTTGTTCTTATAAGAACATTTTCCCTTCAGGATTTAGACATGCCTTTGCATTTGATGGGAGACTCAAAAATAATGCTGCAAAGGAGGCTGGGGAATCTGTGCTCCAGAGAGAATTAACTTTTAAGCCCAAGGTAGCTGTGACTTAACTGCAAAACCCAGCAAGGAGTAATGTAACTTTGGGCAAAACACAGCTGTTGAACACATTTTATACAGTTTTGGTAGGCTTACAGAAAACCAGTCTGTGGAGCAGGTTGTGTGTCTGAGGAACAGCTCTGCACAGGAATCTCTGGAGCTGTGGTCCTTGTAATTGCTTCCATCACATCCCTTGGTCCGACTCAGCCAGCTGCCCTCCTGCTTGGAGCATGCCCAGGCATGGGGCAGCTGTGGGAGCAGTGCTGGGTCAGCCTTCTGTGCAGGATGGGGAGCTTCAGGCAGGACCTTTTTGACCCAGGAGGGCAGAAATCAGTGTTCAGACAGGCTGTTTGATGGGCAATGTCTTGTTTTCTCGTGCTGCTCGGGTATTATATTGAAATAGGTTATCTTAAAGGAGAAAACTCTTGATGTCTGGGGTGTCCAAAACTCCTCAGCACTCAAGAAGCCTCTGTGGCCAGAATCCTGGTGAGTCCTGATCTTACAGAGAGGAGGGGTGCCAAGTGCCTTGGTAGGACACTTTGCTGTGCTCCTCAGAGAGCATAATGTCTGGGGGGAGCAGGTGGGCCAGCTAAGCATTACAGAATGCTGGCTGATCCTTTTTGCTTTGGTGGTTAGATCAGCCCCCATCATCACCTGGTGCCCACCACGGTGTCCTTCCTGTGCTGGGCATTTTCACCCTGCGTTCACTGCATAACCCAGCACCTGCTGGCAAGGGGACAGCCAGGCCCTGGCCCGTGCCAGAGGCTGATGGCTGTTCACCGTGGGGCTGAAGACTATGTTGCATCTGGACACTCAGTGTATCCTAGTTTGTATCTCTGGGACTTTTTTTATACTGCTGCTGGAAGTTTTTTGGGCTAGAGAATAAAGCCACGTAGATTTTGCACGAGCCCTGTCAGTGCAAAAGTCAGGTCAGGAGGGTGTGGAACCTCCTGGTACATCTCTTCACCATGTGTCAGGTAGCACAGCTCATCAGTGCAGCCTTTTGCTTCCAATTGCTGATTGCATAGAGCCTGTAGAACTGAGTTTGAACCAGATTTTGTCCTGCTCTTTCCATTGTTAAGATTTTATTGCCTGAGCAGATGTTATTAAGGTCCTTGCGCCTTCTGGAAGAGCATTGTGTGTTTGGTGATAAAAGAAATCAAGCAAGCTGCAGCACAGGTCTCAGGTCTTTCAGATGAGTTAGTGAGCCCAACAGGTGAAAAGTTGCACCTTGTAAAGCCTGTGCCCTTTGAGAGGAGTTTCTCAGAGGAGCTCATCTGTTGTTCCCAACTGGAAGACACCCTTGTTAAGCCCTGGTCTGGAGCACAAAGAATGATAGAATCACAGAATGGCTTAGGTTGGAAGGGACCCTAGAGTTCATCTGGTCACTGCCATTTCCTATAAACCAGGCACTGCTTTTTAGCTTCTCCTTGCATGAGGGTCTGTTAGATATTTGGATTAGCTTCTTGTCTCTGAGGTCCTCACAGAAAGAGTTCTGTCTTTCTGCAGCAGTGCTATTCATTTAAGGAGGAAAAATGGTGGTTAAACCAGTGACTGCCCACTTTGGTGGGTGTCAGGAGAAGGTAAAGCACACGTCTGTACCTGTGCACCAGTGTCAGATGCAGTCAAGGGCTGGGCTTCTGCTGAGGTGGAGCTGTTGCAGTTTGGCTCGAGGCTTAACTGACCTGGGCTTTTGTTTCTTCTTCTTTAGTGATGATGGCCAAGGAGAAACCGCCAATAACTGTGGTTGGAGACGTCGGAGGAAGAATTGCCATCATTGTGGTATGAGTGTGATGCAGGGGGTGGTTTCCTCCCAGCATCTTTGCTTGAGCTGCTTTACCCCTGGGGGTGGGAGGGACTGCTGATATAGGGATGGGAACGTGATATTTACCACTGTTCTCTCCAGCTTTGCTGGTGGCTTTGGTTATTTCAGCTTTCTGTTGAAAAACCTTTGTACTTCTACACTTTAAGCCTTGAAATCTCCTTGTTCCCTTGAATCTATAAATGTCAGATGTCTACAAATACTCAACAAATCCAAGACATGTAGAGAAATCTCCTGAAGTGTTTATAAAAAAAAAAACAAAAACAAACCCACAACCCCAACCAACTAAAAAAGCTTGCTGAGGTTCTTAGACTTGCTGTGCCGTGCTGCAGTCTGTCATCAACATGCAGCTACTATCACCAAGGAAAAAAACCCACCCTGCTGAAGATAAACTGTTTGTGTGTGTGCATGTGCAGGGATTAGTTTGTTTCCAAGACAATTTCTGTTCTGCAGAAGGGTCCATAAATTAGGCAAGTCACATTTGCGGATTTAAGTCCTGCACGTGGCTGTCCTTGCATCTCAACAGCAGCTGAAGTAGCCAGGGTTTATTTTTTTGGCTGTCTGTGCCTGAGCTGCAGTACCTTGCAGATCCATTACTGCTCTGCAGGCACGGTAAACTTCTGGTTTTGATGTTATTTCTGTTTTTTTTTCAGGATGACATCATCGATGATGTGGAAAGCTTTGTAGCTGCTGCAGAGATCCTGAAAGAGCGTGGAGCCTACAAGATTTTTGTGATGGCTACCCACGGGCTCCTGTCAGCAGATGCCCCCCGTCTCATAGAGGAGTCCTCCATCGATGAGGTGCGGCTGCTTTCTGGACTGCAGAGCAGGGGCTGGCTCTGCTGGCTGGGTTGATTTAAGGCACCAAACCCCACAAACTGATGTTCTTCCCCTGCCACGTAGCTCACCTCTGAAATTACTGGTTTCATCACATGCTTTCAGTTAGTTGGTTCTTCATTTAAAAAAAAAGAAAAACCCAAACCACCGTGTGTGATTAATACTCGTTGAGATCAGATCTGCTTCTCTGTGAATGTTCTCTCCTAGTGCACAGGTATTAGTCATCCCTGCCTGGGCACTTCCCTTAGGGCAGCTGGGTGTGTGTGACTGCTTTCTCACTCTACAGATCTTCTCTCTGTCCCTCTGGCCAGCTGCTCACGGGCCGTTGGGTCCATTCAGAGGATAAGATTTCAAACCTCACCCTTAGGAGCAAATGTGTTGAATCCTGCGATCTAAATGGACCCATCAGCCTGTGTGGAGGTGGCTGTTGTAGAGTGCTGGTTTTTCTGGTCCCCTCAACAGATTAACTGTCACATGGAGGAGACCACTTATTTAATTTTTTTTTTTCTAACATAAAAAGTGAAAACTGTGATATTTTTCCCAGCAGCCACCACTCCAGGAGTTAATCTGGTGTAGCTGTTCAGCGAGAGTGAACGCATCGACAGCACAACTAATGGTCTCTTTCTGGCACTCTGTAGGTGGTAGTCACCAACACGGTTCCTCACGAGGTACAGAAGCTGCAGTGCCCCAAGATAAAGACTGTGGATATCAGTTTGATTCTCTCTGAAGCCATCCGACGAATCCACAACGGCGAGTCCATGGCCTATCTCTTCCGTAACATCACCGTCGATGACTAGACCTGGCGCTGCCCATCCCAGCTTCCACAAGACAGGGAAACATGCATGACAAAGCAATACCATAAATTATAGGCATAACACAACTGTTTATTCTCGTAGGGGGCACGAAAGTTTTCAGCATCTTGAGCCATGAGGTCTAATAGAAAAAAATCAACCTGAGCAGCATTTTACAGGTGAACAGAAGAGGCCACTGGCAATGGGGAGGTTACATCTTAATTAGGGGAGATGAAGTGAGGTGGTGATGAATTTTTAAGTTCCTTTAAATTTTCTTTTTTTTTATTTAGTGTGTTATCTCTTGCCCTGTAGCTGGGGAAAGAAAAGCATAAAAGAAGCAGTTGTCAGCTTCTGAGAAGGGACTAAAGGCCGCTCCTGGCTGTGTAGTGGGCAGCAAGAGCAGACAGCCTTTGGGTTTCTGTTTCTGCAGCTCTCCTGAGCGCAGGAGGGAGCGCTGGGCTGTGCTGTGTGCTGCCAGCAGGGCTGGCTGGCAGAGCAGCACCTTGCCAGCTGAGTGGCCTCTCATCTCCTGCACAGCATAGCGAGGAGTTTCATCAACCCCAAGCTAGCGGGACAGCCAGCGGGGGCAGCTTGGGGCAGCCCCTTCCCAGGGCTGCTCACACCCTCCTGTCGGGGTGCTGGGAACAAGCTCACGTGTCTCTCTAAGCAGGGCAAGGGGTGCTAGTTATCATGCTAGCCTTTTCATTTTGCGAGCCTTGGCTCATTATTGTTCTGTAGTGGCAAGTCACGTGAGGGTCAAGGTCCTTGCTTGAACACTTGTCTGCACTGGAAAACCAGATGCAGGTTCTGGAGTTGCCTGGGGCTGATGGGTTGTGTCAGAGTCTTGTGGGGAAGGGGAGTTGGAACAATACCTGCCTCTTAATGCAGCTGTGCTCTCCAAAACACTAACACTGAACCTGCAATAAAAGCATAGGATTTTTCATTTGTGGTGCTTTCTGTCAACAGCAGCCATGTCTGTACCGTGGGGCTGCTGCTGTAACCAGGCTCACTTGGCAGCTTGCAGCTCCCTTGGATAGGGAAGCAGGGCTCACTGCTTGCTCCTTTCTTGGGTGACACTAACCCTTGGCTGGAGAGGACACATGAGAAGGCCACACAAGGTGCTTGTGAAGGGCTTAGTCTCCAGGATGATAGAAGAATACATTCCCTAATGGTGATCGTAGACTTACTGAAGGGTGTAGGTTGGAAGGGACCTTAAAGATCATGCAGTTCTAACCCCCTTGCCATGGGTGTTGCCTCCTTGCCATGATCTTCCAACTTGATGAGGCTGACAAAGACACTCTAGTAAAACCTATCCCACTTTCTAGCCTGCTGATGTTAGGAAAAAAACGTGGTTGGATGCTCTTGTTTCAGAAGAGCACCGCTGATGATGGACTGTTGCTAGCAGGCACTATCTTAATTTTACATACGCTTAACCTTCTGCCTGCATCCTCCTCTCCCATGGCAGCATGTCAAATGTGCAGTGCCAAGGGGCAGGCAAAGATGAAGCCAGAAGACAGTCACATCTGAAAACCCCAAACTGCTTTAGGAAAGCTGGCACCCCGTGTTCAGTGGGTCCCCAAAGGTCAGGGGGAGGTGGTGGCCTGGGGCCAGGGCATGCCAGGACACTGCATCTGCTCAACCTGGACCCAGGTTGCCATCCTGCTGGCACTGAACGTCAGCGTTTCCCGCCTGCCCCAGGGTCCTGCCCTTGCCCTGCTGTGGTGCTGTGCTGCTTTAGGGGTCCTGCAGCATTTCCTGCTGGCCCTGAGTGCTGGCTGCACAGCTTGAGCAGCCCTGGGTATTGCTTCAGCACTCCTCAGCCTGCAGCTCTGCCACAGACTGGAGCAGAGGCTAAGGATCCCTCTGCAGAGGGAGCTTCTCACCTCAGTGTGTCTTCTTCTCATCTCTTGAATCTCTCTACTCCCTCTTTGAGTTCAACCTTCCTGGCTTGGAAGAGACAAATACAGGCACAGAGCTGATCTATGTGCTTTGTTTTAGTGCCTGACAATGGGTATCTTGTATCTTTTGAAAGAGCAAAGGTCTGTCCAGTTTCCTGCATGTCCACTCTTGTCTTTCCTTGGAAATTGCCTTTGAGTGTCTGGGGGTGTTGGTGCCCTGACTGCGTGGTTCATAAGGGAAAAGAACTTGATTTGTCATTTCTCTGAGTACCTGCCTGAGGAATCACCTGGGTTCAAGTTTTTTTTTTTTTCCCCAGTGTTTGGACACTTAATTTCCAGGCTTGTCTGGAAGCATGTGATTCCCTGCTTCCATGGTTCTTTGCTTTGGAGGAAGATGCTGAAAGTCTGTGTGTGTTGCTGCCTTCCACCATACCCCTGTCAAAGGGAGAAGGTAAAATTTCTCCTGTTTGCCATACCTCAGAAATGAAATGAACTGAGGTGTTTCCTTGACAGGACTGGTCTCCTGCAGAGTTTCAGCTGCACCAGGCTGTGTGAGTGGCAGGTACCATGGGATCCCAGAACGTTTGGGTTGGGGTTGGGGACCTTTCAAGGCCACCTAGTCCAACCCCCCTGCAGGGAGTGGGACATCAGCAACTCGAGCAGGTTGCTCAGAGCCCCGGCCAACCTCCCCTGGAATGATTCCAGGGACGAGGCAGCAACCACCTCTCTGGGCCGCCTGGGGCAGGGGCTCGCCACCCTGGCCATGAAGAGTTTCTAATGAATATCGAAACCAAATCTCCCTCCTGTTTCCAGCCATCACCCCTCGTCCTGTCGTGGCCCTCCCCTGACAAGGGGCCCTCCCCGTGTCCCCGTGCCCGCGTCCCGGCCCTTCGCTGGCGCTGCGGGGGAGCGCCCCCCCTCGGGCACGGCCGCACCGAGCCCCT